TTTTAAAAGCTTTTTTTCTTATTCATTTTTTTCTTTTTGTTCACTGGTTAACAGCTACCATATTTTTCACTAACTTGAAAACTATTTTCTTTTTCTGTTTTAATCTGTATATTTTAATTTTACTTGTTGTTAATCGCCAAAACAAAAAAGTTACAGTTTCAAAACGTAACAGTACGATTATATGTGTAAAGCAGAAAATAAAACCTATTTAAGCTTTAATTCTAAGGGTTAATTTAATCTCAAAAAAATTTATGCACCTTTTTTTTTCATTATTGCCTCTTCTCTTCTTCATTGTTCTGAAGATAAATGTTGAGGTAGTATGGAAAAAAACAAATTTGGCAATACTATGTTATCAATTTGTAGCAAAACTTAAAACCTTTTTTGACAACAGCTCAGCTGCAATAATTGCTTATTAAATTAGATATGTTTGTAAGCCAAATTAATTCTTTAGTAGTTCAAAAACCAAAAAAAAAAAAAAAGAGAGTAGAGAAAACTTAAAAATAACAGCTCAAATATGTATACACCAGTTAAATGTTGCTGCTTGCATGCAATAGCCAAATTTTTGCATGAGTTTAGGTGGTTCAAACTTTAACCGTTATAAGTTCAACTGTTAAAAAATATTTTAAGCGAATTGATGCAAAAAAAAGAAAAACAATAATAAAAGAGAACAACAAAAAAGAATAAAAAGTTGTTGACAGTTGTTTAAAAAAAAAAAAGTTTAATTTGTTCAGTGTTGTCATCAAAAATTCAAATACTGCCCAAACTGCTAGCGTAGGTTCTTACATTATTATTGAACTGACTGCCTCAGTTTTGGCTTTTTTTTTAGTGCTAACTCCTAAAGAAAAAAATAACCTATTTTAGAAGCTGCTGCAGAACTGATACGACAACAGTCGGCGATGTGCTCGTTTACAGAATCTGTAGATGATGATTTACCACCAGCTCCAGAACTTCCACCATCACTGGACATCGATTATCAGTATCCGGCTGAATCTGAAAACATCTCAAGTACCATTCAAGAAATGGTTTGTATTTGATCAATCAATTTTTCTTTAACATACATAAAAGTACCATTGATTTACTGAATAATTTGTTTAACTTTGTTAAAAAAAAAACGAATAAGTTTTTGCTGTAAATTTTTCTATTGCAAAAAATTAAATGCAAAAGCAGAAGCAAATTGCTTGAACTAAACTCGTTTTTTTGTTTAAACTTCTGAACAAAAAATTTAAAATATAAATCCAATTAGTCAGTTCAATTAAAACAAAAAGCTTTTTTTTTTTTTAACAAAGAAAAATTAGCCAACATTTTTTTTTTTTTGCATAAAAAACAGTGGAAAAGCTGCTGGAAGCAGTATTGATACGCTTTTATAAAACATTGAGCTTCTTCAAATAAATTTTTCTGAAAACAATGATTTAGCAATGCCGATGTGTCAACACTTTTTTCTGAATATTGTCTACACATTTTAGCCCACAAGAATAGCATAAATAACACATTTTATAACAGAATGTAATACCTCTGTTTTTGTGGTATAGATTAGTCAATGTTTTTTTTTTTTGCTTCTTTTTTTATGTGGTCTTATTGACAAACTTATTATTTCAAGAAGAAAGTGTTTTTGTTGTTTTTTTAGACAAAAAAATTTAATCAAGAAGTCAAACACGCCGATTATGACAAATCCTTAGGGGCTACACAAAAATATCCTTTGGTAGTTTCTGGACCTGGAAAAGTTGATGCCGAACAGGAGTTGCATGAGAGTTTACTAGAAAAAACCAGTGATAGTAGTCCAGATACAGATACTGAAATACAACAACTGCACAGCGAAGAAGAACATAAAAAAGTTCAAACCAAGGTTTGCCAGTTGCTTATTAAATATTTCAATTAGCAGCAATATTGCAGAAAGCTCACCATTTAATCATACCACAATTTCTAATTTTTTTTTTTTTTTTTT